TGTTTTCAATTCTGTCCATTCTGTGTTTGTGCAAATCGATTGCACCTTCAATGCCAATCGATTTCACTCTGTGCGTTTATGTTTTATTTTGATTATGTTTGTATACAAATCGATTGCACCTGGTATGCCAATCGATTGCACGTACTGCAACTTGCTTTTATGACAGAAAATTTATGTTGGTCATAATTCCTCTCTCATATTCCCAAGCCAAATATACTTTATTTCAAATCACTCATTCCCCACCTATCCAAATCATTTCCAAATATCAGCTCACAAACACCTTTCTCTCTCACAAAACCTAAAAACTTCAAAACCCTAAAAACTCCATATCCATGGCTTCAAGGCAAAAGAGAAAGGCTTCAGTTTCAGAAAAAGGGAAGAAGAAGGTTGATTCAACATCCAATCCATTACTTTCAACTCTCACCAAAGAGCAAGAAGTTAGATTTATCCAAGACTTTCAAAGGAAAATAGTATCCAACCCCAAATATGGTATACTATCCTCCTTTCCTCAAGAATGTTTTTCCTTTCAAAATGATCTAACTGCTTATGGTCTAGAACCCTTAATTTCTTCGTTCGGTCCATATTACCCGGATTTGGTAAGAATCTTTTTCAGTAATCTAACACCCTAAAAAGGCAAATTGGTCGCATATGTGTTGGGCACTCGTATCTCTCTAACTCCTCAGGTTGTTGGTGAAATCCTTCATATTCCTTTCACTGGAAGTTCCCTATATGATCCTGAAAACGAGATATGGGATGACTACTGGAAAAAGGAGTTCTTTTACAGGATTGGGCGGTTAAGTGAAGCTGAATTTCGCGCCAAACGGATTCGTGGTCTTGGTGGAGTAATTCCATCCAGAGACTCCTGGAGTGCAGGTAACCTCCATATAGACGATCGCTTATATCATTATTTTCTTGTCTATATTATGTTTCCAAGAGCTGGAAACCACTGCACTGTTACCGACTTGGAAATGCAGCTAATTTATGCAAGAAAAAAGGGGTAAGTGTAAACTGGGCAAGGCTTATCATGGTGCATATGATGAGAGTGGATGCAAAATCTAAATTTCTTCCATATGCTTATTTTGTCACTTTGATTATGGAGGAATTTGGTGTGGATTTTGCTGGGTTTGAAAAGGTGAATATGGATCCTAATCTAAACAAAATTTCCATTAAGAATGTTGACTCCAGAATGGGCGTGCATTACAATCCGGAGACAGAGACCATCACCTACATTGGTGAAGATGTTGTTGGAGATGAAGGAAATGACCAAGAAGTCGAAAGCAGTGAAGCTGTGCCTCCTCCTCCTATTGCTCCCTATGGTCCAAGCAATCAAGAGCTTATGGATTACATGACTCAACAGTTTGCTTCCATGAACACCAACATCAACAATCAATAGAGTGCGATCAATGATTCCACTACAACCCGGATTAATGACTTCCAAACGGATGTGAATCAACAATTCTAGTACCTATACTCTCATATTCATATTCCACCATACGATCCAAATAATTCAGCTGCACCTCTTCAACACTATACAAAACCTCCACTTCAACAACAATTCCCGAATCAAGGCTCAAGATCTTATAACCATCCAGACATGTATCACCCTTAATGTTCTGACTAATTGTTTTTCTGTTATGTTCTTGTCTTGCTATTCAATGTCTTGTTTGTTCAAATTTATGTATAATCCTTAAACAATTTGTGTTACTGTTTTAAATTCTAAATTTTCTCAATATATTGCTCTATTATTATTTGCTTTAGGCATCTTTCACTTCTTTTTGATAATGCCAAAGGGGGAGAAAGATGTGTGATACTTTATGCTTGTATTTTTCTGTGTCTTAAGTTTTTAAGGTACTCTCCAATCAAGATGAAGAAACGCATAGGATTCCAACCCTCTCCTACATAGGGGGAGTTTTTCATCTTAGGGGGAGAAGCTCTTCCGGAAAGTACATCGCATAAAGCAAGATTGTTTGTCATCATCAAAAAGGGGAAGAATGTAAAATCAAGCTTCACAAATGAGCTTTTGTTTTGATGAAGACAAACCATGGCTAACAAAGAAGGCAAAGACTTTTGATCAAGCTCAAAGCATCAAAGGATAATATCTTCATTCAAAGCTCTCAACAACTTTAAAGGTATAATAATATTATCTACTTTGATCTTAAGATATAGATGCTCAAAAATGAAAAAGAAATGTTTAAAAAATCATTCTCAAGTTTTTTTAAAGTTAAAATTTTACTTTTCTCTTGCATGCAATCGATTTACATTTTAGTGCAATCGATTGCACTCTTCAAACTTTCAGATTGTTTGATTCTGTTTTTCTGTGCAATCGATTTACATTGCTTGTGCAATCGATTGCATACTTAAAACTTTCAGATCTTTTGCTTCTGTTTCTCTGTGCAATCGATTTACATTGCTTGTGCAATCGACTGCATACTTAAATTTTCAAAACGTTTGCTTCTGTTTCTCAGTGCAATCGATTTACATTGCTAGTGCAGTCGATTGCACTCACTTACTTTTTGCTACTGAATTTGCATGCAATCGATTTGCATTGATAGTGCAATCGATTGCACTCTTAAAATTTTTGAAAAAATAGTTGTTGAAACCTTGTGCAATCGATTTACACAAAGGGTGCAATCAATTGCATACTGCACGATTTTGAAAAACAGCAGCTTTGTTCATGCCTGTTCATCGTGCCTTTTCATTAAAACTTTTCACTCAAACTTGACATTTGTTCATGATACATTTTCAGAACTTCATGTTGTTTCAAAAGGGTGTTATGAACACATAAATATTCAATTTCAAAATCTATTTCAACACCTCTTCCATAAATATTTTCTGAAATTTCAAAATACAAACTCAAGCATTCCTTCACTTTCATGCATAAGTTTTCTGCACATTTTCATACATTAACAAACAGAAAACTTTGAGCAAATATATCTTGAGTCATTGTACAATAATATTATTGGAAGAGAAGATTTTACATTGTTAAATCACTCTAAGTGATCAATATTACTCTACTCACTCAAACTCAAAAATTGATATTTACTTACTTATTTTTCCAGGATTGTTGGAAATAAGTTTAAGTGTTTTTTGAAATCTTGTCTTTCCAAAGTTGTTGAATATAAGTGTAGTTACATTGAGAGGATTGTTCTCATAGATAACTTAGTGAAAATCCAAGAGGATTGTTCTTGGTTGTTTGGTAGTTCTTGTTTAAGTTTGCCACAATAAGGAAATCTCTTTCATGTTGAAAGGGGATTGGAGTACTCTCGGACTGTGAGGGGAACTAGGATATATCGCCCGTGTCTCTTTATTTTTCTTCTTTTTTAATCTTTCCTAAACTCGCTTTTAACCAGAAAAATAAGAACCATCATCACTAAAAACCAGATTTTTCAAAGTATCTAATTCACCCCCCCTCTTAGGTGCACTTCGAAGGGTCTTTCACAACAAGCTACGCGAATATAACAATGTTTTAAGAAATAAATCCATACTCGTTGCCAAATGAAATAATCAACGCAAAGGAATAGATTTTGATGAAACTTATGCTCATGTGACTAAATTAGAAGCTATAAGAATGTTTTTAGCTTTCTCTTGCATCATGAATTTCAAACTATTTCAAATGGATGTAAAAGTGTTTTTCAACATAGCTACATCCAAGAGGAGGTATATGTTGATCAACCTCTAGATTTTATCAACTTTACCTTTCTAGATTATATATTCAAGCTTTAAAAAATTCTATATGGACTAAAACAAGCTCTTAAATCTTGGTGTGATTGTCTAAGTAAATTATTGTTTGAAAATAAGTTTCAAAGATGACAAGTTGATAAAACTCTTTTCATCAAGAAAACCAAACATGACATCTTATTAATTCAAATATACGTTGATGATATCATATTTGGTGCTACTAACAAATCCTTGTGCAAGAAATTTTCTGAAATGATGCAGAATGAATTCAAAATGTCAATAATGGAAGAGCTTCGATATTTCCTAGGATTTCAAATTCGTCAAACTAAAGAAGGAACTTTCATAAATCAATAAAAATGCTCTAAAGAATTTCTAAAAAGGTTTGACTTGGTTGAGTACACCGGTTCCAATTTCGCTGGGTGCAAATTGGATTGGAAAAGCACTTACGGTACGTGTCATTTACTTGGAAACTCGTTTGTCTCTTGACATATCAAGAAACAAATCAGTGTCGCACTATCCACAACTGAGGTAGAAAACATTATTGCAGGTATTTGCTGCTCTCATATTATATGGATGAAACAACAACTCAGCGATTACGGTGTTAATCTTAGAGTTGTCTTGATAAGATGCGACAACACTAGTCCTATAAACCTCACCAAAAACCCAAATTTTCACTCTCACGCCAAACACATTAAGGTTAGATACCACTTTATGAGGGATCATGTTGAAAAAGGGGAATGATACTTGAAATTCCAAAGTCCGCCAAGAAACTCTCAATTGAATTATCACAAGCTTTTTTCAATTCTAGCTTGAAGGCGGCGTCTCCATTTTCCTTTTCCGACTTACACATACAGTGAACAATTTCCTGCAAAATAATAACATTCTTGTCAGAAGTGCCTTTGGATCTAGCAGGTGCTGTTTTGGTACCAATGAAGGTATCAAGTAAGGGCCGGAGGCGGTTTATTTTGTAAGCTATGTTGCTAGACCGTATTGGATACTGTACCCGTACCTATGCATCATAAATTGGAAGCTATCGAGTTCGAGAAATTCGAAAGCCTTCATTAAGTTTAAGAATTGTGAAACTTCTTTCTTAGCGAAGTTATACCATCTTCGTTCAAGACATGGTAGTGAATTGTGTGAAAAGTTAAATAATTCAGGTCAGTGCTAGAATCTCTTCTAAACAACACTTTATAGCGAAAAAGTTGCTAGAAGATTTGTTATATTCATTCATTTGATTCTAGTTATACATTTCAAAAAATAGGTACTAGAGACATTTCCTGCTACTGGTCTACATAGCCTCATTAAATTGCCATGTTTTCGATTTAAAAATCAATAGAAATGTTCCATTGGTATAACTCTTTCTCAGGAACACTGAGCTCAGTAGTCACCAATCCTGATTCTTCCTCATAACTGAATTCCACCTCTTCTGAATCAACATTTATCAACTTCGGCCGAGCCGATGAATAAGCTCCGAATAGACCACACCCGCGCACTTTCATGGAAACATTTGAAATTCCGTTAAATCCAGAACCGAACTCTTTGATGGCCCCTCCTGAATTGAACATCTTGATTAAACCAACAGGAGCAAACTTGACACCATTTGATAACTCCTTCACAGGGACTACTGTAAAAACTTCGTATTCTCGAGATTTCATGGTAATTGGAATAGAAACATCCTTTGGAAGATAAAATACTTCTCCTGCAAATCAACATCATAAAGAAAGAAACAAGTACAATTACTAAACAAAAGAAAAATTCGGTTAACAATTTCCGGCCCTAGAGCCTTAAAACATACCACAAAGATGAGAAAATATAACAGCGTCTCCTGTCCATTTATCATCTGCAACTGTGGATAAATAGTCAATATCTTTAGCCCGAATGATGCCTGTTACTGTGCCTGGATTCTCGTCGTGGATAAGGTTCTTCTTTCCAACTTTGCACCAACCAGCTCCTTGGCAATTGAATACTCCAACAACTCCAGAATAATCATTCATGTTCCATATCTTTAGAAGACTGCAACAACAAAAATCCAAAAGAGTAAAGAACCATCTAACACATCAATTGGTCAAGTATATTTACCGATTCTTTACCTCTTTCCGTCTCTAGCAGGATCAGCAAATAAACAATCCTTGGTTGGTCTTCCAGGAAGTTTAGCTCTTAGGATAGAACCATCCGGAAGTACAAGCTTCTTCAAAAGATTAAAATCATGGTGTCGAGGCTTGTCACTGCACCACATTACAAGCGTGCGCGTCATTAAGAAAATAGATTAAAATCATGGTGTTGGGGCATTGTCTGCGTAAAGAGTGGCCAAATCATCACCTGACATATATAGGACAGCCTCCAACAGCTCTTGCAGCAGCATGATATTCAGCCATTGGATGTAGGCTCTAACATGCATAAAAAATTCAAAGCTTATTATTAGCTTATGAAGAACCTAGCACATACTTGGATTTGTTTCTTTTTTTTTTTGTAACAACTTACATGAAACATGTCCCAATCTGGCTGCATAAACTCGCCAAGGAAAATAGTATTGTATGCGACCGATGCAATGTGAATCGTATGTGATGCAGGGTTTCTAGGCCAGAAATCGTCTGATGCTCTAATAACCGCCGAACGCTTTGCGCTGCATCAAGTAAATTCATTAAATAAATTCATTACTAGAGGGATTTTCTTAAAGGCATTCACTTGAATATTTTGTAATAAATCTCTACCTATACAATCCATCTGTATTGTGACTCATGCAACAAATGATTCCATTATCAGGAAAATTTCTCGAGATCGACGCCTCCAAGGCCTGGTGATATTTCCTGGCAAGTTTCACTCTCCCACCATGTCCTGATCCAAGAGTTTCAAGGATATTCTGAACATCAACTTTGACGCCATCGATACCAGCAGACGCCAGATACGAGTGGAGTTCATCGTAGAAGTGATAAACTTTCTCAGGATTCACAAGACCAAGTCCATTAATCGCCATTGTATCTAAAGCTTCATCTGGTTGATTGGATTTGACTCCGGGAGAAGAGATAGGGAATGTGATATTTGATTCATAGTGTTCCATGCCACTAATACTAGGTTTAACACCTCCCCAATATCCCGTTATCGCATGCCACACGTACACTTTGCTGCAGAATCAGCTTTCCATTCAATACCATTGGGATCCATGCTAACACATTGCCTATTGGATACAAAACAGAATTCTGTATAAACTCTTGTATATTGCACTAGTTGAATAAATTACACACTTGGTCTTTTATAGACCCAAATAAACTTTTACAATTCTAAAACATAAACATAACTGCTACTAATAACTATTATAACTTGCTAAACTATTGTCCTTCCTACTACCATAATTAAATGCAAAGTTTATTACTAACACATTTAATGTTTATTCAACAAAACTCTTCTGTAAACTTAAATGCTTCTTCGATCCAGCATTCCTATCATTTTCTTGCCTCTGTCGAAGACTTCTTTCGATAGTGGTTTTGTGAAGATGTCCGCTGCTTGGTTTCTGCTTGCTACATGCCTTAATTCGACGCTTCCCTCTTTCACATGTTCACGAATGAAGTGAAATCGAATGTCTATATATTTGCTTCGTTCATGATTCACTGGATTCTTTGCCAATTCGATAGCTGATTTATTGTCCACTTGTATTATTGTTGGACCTCCCTGCTTCAGCTCCATCTTGCTTATCAACCTTCTGAGCCATACTGCATGACAGACGCACCAGGATGCTGCCACATATTCTGCTTCACACGTCGAAAGTGTCACTATAGGCTGCTCCTTCGATAGCCAAGTGAAAGTTGTGTTTCCCATGAAAAACACATATCCTGCAGTGCTCTTTCGATCGTCAATGTCTCCACACCAGTCACTGTCAGAATAACCCACTAACTTGTAGTCTTCTGTCTTTGAATAAAACATCCCAAGTGATACTGTTCCTTGGATGTATCTCAGAATTCGTTTCAGCGCTTTCCAGTGTGTGTGAACTGGCTCCTCCATGAATTTGCTCACTATGCCAACACTTAGTGAAATATCTGGCCTTGTGCATGTGAGATATCGAAGGCTGCCTACCAAGCTTCGATATTTGCTTCCTTCGACCCGTTCTCCTCCATCAAACTTCGACAGCTTTATGCCTGGCTCCATTGGCGTCGAAGTTGGATTGCAATTCTTCATCTTATATTTTTCTAGGATTTCCTTTGCATACTTTTCTTGTGATATGAAAATCCCAGCTTCTTCCTGTCAAACCTCCAGACCAAGAAAAAATCTCATCAGACATAAGTCTGTCATTTCGAATTCTCTTGTCATGGTGCTTTTGAAGTCTTCGATCATTTGAACATTATTTCCTAGAAAAATAAGATCATCAACGTACAAAGCCACAAGTAATAAATCACCTCCATTTTTCTTCACATAGAGGGCTGGTTCATAAGGGCATTGCTCGAATCCACTCTCCTTAAAATATGTGTCAATGCGTGTGTTCCATGCCCTAGGTGCTTGCTTCAGCCCATACAATGCTTTCTTCAGTTTCAGCACCCTCTTCTCTTCTCCAATTCTCATGTATCCAAGTGGTTGTTCGACATAGATTTCTTCTTCGAGCACACCATTCAAAAATGATGTCTTGACATCCATTTGAAATATTTGCCATTTGAACTGAGCAGCTTGAGAGATGAGTAATCGAATTGTCTCCATTCTTGCAACAGGCGCGAACACTTCGTCATAGTCAATGCCAGCTTTCTGCTTGTATCCCTTTGCAACCAGTCGTGCCTTGTATCTTTCGATCTCTCCTTGAGCATTCATCTTTTTCTTAAATACCCACTTTACACCAATGGGTTGACTTTCTTTTGGTAATTCGACTAGCTCCCAAGTATTGTTGCGTTCGATTGCTCTAATTTCTTCGTCCATGGCACTTTTCCACTTCTTATCTCTTAACGCTTCTTCAACACTTATGTTTTCAGCATCTGCCAGAAGACACACAAGATGCACCTCACTTGTTGAATCATACAAATCTTGAAAACTTCTCATTTTGGGTTGTATAGGTTCATCTCCATCTTCTATTTCTTCATGTTCTTCTGGAATACTTGTTGGTACAGCTATAGTTGTTTCTTCGACTGTGTCAGCAATCTCTGTCGAATTATTCCAGTCCCACTTGCTTGCTTCGTTCATTCGAACGTCTCTGCTCACAATCACTTTCTTGCTTATGGGATTGAAGAGCTTGTACCCTTTTGTCTTCTCATCATATCCAATGAATATGTACTTCTGACTTTTGTCTTCAAGCTTTGTTCTTTGTTGATCTGGTACATGTGCATAAGTTGTGCTACCAAATACCTTGAGATGAGAAATTGTTGGCTTCTGTCCACTCCATGCTTCTTGTGGTGTTTTGTCTTCTAACTTCGAATGTGGACATCTATTCTGAATATAAACAGCACATTGTACTGCTTCTGCCCAGAATTCTTTCGACATGTTCTTGCTTTTGAGCATTGATCGAACCATGTCAAAAATAGTTCAGTCCTTCCTTTAAGCCACACCATTTTGCTGAGGTGAATATGGTGCAGTTAGGAATCTCCTTATGCCCTGTTCTTCACAGTACTTCACAAAGGCCATCGAAGTATACTCTCCTCCTCTGTTAGATCGAATTGCTTTGATGTGTCTGTCTGTTGCCTTCTCCAGCATTACTTTGAATTTCTTGAACACTTCTAATGCTTCAGATTTTTCTTTCAGGAAGTAGACCCAGGTTTTTCTTGAGAAGTCATCAATGAAGGAAATGAAGTACCTTTTTCCACTGAAGGATTCTGGAGTGATTGGCCCACATATGTCAGTATGTATTAATTCGAGTATCTGTTTAGCTTGATAATATGCCTTCTTTTGAAATGACGTTCTTGTTTGTTTGCTGAGCACACATTCTTCACAGAATTTTCCTTCGAAGTCCATGTCTGGTAGTCCATGCACCATGTTCCTTTTTGCCAACATTCTCAAACCAGCATGATGTAGATGACCAAAGCGCATATGCCACAGTGACGCTTTGTCTTGCACTTCGATTTGCATACATTTCTCTCGAATGTTCCTCAGGTTCAGTTTGTACATTCGATTTCTTTCCATTTCGACACTGGAAATCAGATGTCCTGCTTTGTCCTTTAAATGCAGTGTTCGATCTTTCATCAGTATCGAAGCACCTTTTTCTGTAAGTTGTCCCAGACTTAATATGTTGGTCTTAAGATCTGGTACATAGTAAACGTCTTCGATTGATCCAATCAAGCCATCCTTCTGCAAGTAACTAATTGTGCCCTTTCCTTCAACCTTCACTTTCGATGCATCTCCAAAAGATACACTACCATCTTCAATTCCCTTCATATCTTTAAACAGGTGTTTGTAACCACACATGTGATTACTTGCTCCTGAGTCAAGATACCAAACACTGTCATTGGTGTTGATTTCGTTTTGAGCCATCAGGAGAAAGCCTTTATTTGATTCAGCTTCCAAGGCTAGGTTGGTTGTCTCTTCAGTCTTCTTTTCATTTCGACAGTCTTTTGCAAGATGTCCCACTTTGTCACAGTTGTAACATTTGTAGGAGTTGCAATCATTCGCGTAATGACCATACTTCCCACACTTGTAGCATTCTAAGTTGGAATAATTCGAACGACCACCTCTTTGACCACGTCCTCTGCCACGCCAATTTTGTTGGCTCGAATGTCCTTTTTCGAAGTTGCTACCTCTACCACTTCGACCACTGTCACGACCTCCACGTCCATGTCCTCTTCCTCGAAAGTTGTGAGAAAAGAGTACCTTTTCATCTTTGTTCGATTCCTTGGTTTGGTTTGCTTCTTCGTCTGCTTCTTCTTTCTTTTTCATCTTTCGTTGTTCATGTGCTTCGAGCGAACCAGTGAGCTCTTCGATTGAGAGCGTCGAAAGGTCCTTCGAATCTTCTATTGCACACACTAGATTTTCAAACTTGTCTGTTAAAGATCTCAAGATCTTTTCAATAACTCTTGCATCAGCTACTGTCTCTCCATTTCTTGTGAGTTGATTCACCACCTTTTGCACACGTGTGATGTAATCAGATATAATTTCTGTATCCTTCATCTGTATCCTCTCCAATTTGCCACGAAGAGTTTGGAGTCGAACCTGCTTCACTCGATCTGCTCCTTTGAACACCTTTTCTAACGTGTCCCACGCTTGTTTCGACGTAGTCGAACCAACAATCTTCTCAAAGCTTGATTCATCTACAGCCCTGAACAACATGAATAATGTCGTTTTGTCCTTCGCTCGCGTCTCTTTCAACGCCTTCGTCTGAGCTGCTGTAAATCCCCCAACTTCTGTTGGTTCTTCAAACCCATCATGGGTCACCTTCCACGCGTCTAGAGATCCAAGAAGAGCTGTCATTTGGATACTCCAGTTTTCATAATTGGACTTCGTTAGCCGTGGCAACGGCATTTGGTTCATCATGTTTGCCATGAACTCTGATGCCAAATTGTTGGATACAAAACAGAATTCTGTATAAACTCTTGTATATTGCACTAGTTGAAGAAATTACACACTTGATCTTTTATAGACCCAAATAAACTTTTACAATTCTAAAACATAAACATAACTGCTACTAATAACTATTATAACTTGCTAAACTATTGTCCTTCCTACTACCATAATTAAATGCAAAGTTTATTACTAACACATTTAATGTTTATTCAACATTACCATCTGTGATCGGTGGAAATAGAACTGACTGTTTTTGGAATGCTGGTTCGCGTTTGCGTTTCGCAAAATGTCGCGGTAAGCAAGAGTCGCCACCGTCTTTTATTTTCTCCAACAAGGAAAGGACAAAAGCACAGCAAAATTCCTTTTCGAGATGTTTCTCGGGTTCGGGAGGTAGATTATAGAAAGGGAAGGTGTTAGCACCCTTTCTATCTGTGGTTATCCACGGGCTCTTAGGTACTTGCTCACTATGTTTTCAAAATGTTTTGCTTTTCTTGTGTTTGTGGGTTTTGAAATTTTTGTTTGAAAACTTCGATTTAACTCTTGTGTCTGTCCTCAAGAGTGTATGAAGTGTTGTTTGAAAACTTTTGTCAGAAA